CTGCTTTGGGTCTTTTTTGTGGCATGAGGGCTTTCTCTAGTTTTGGTGTTCTGGCTTAGTTGTCCTGCAACACGTGAGATCTTAGTTCTCTGACCAGGGATCAAACACAGGTCCCCTGCATTGGTAGGTGGATTCTTTCAACTTTTTATTTTGTATTGGGGTATAACCAAATAACAAGCAACGTTGCAATAGTTTCAGGTGAACAGGGAAGAGACTCAGCCATACATATATGTATTCATCCATTTGTATCCATATATGTATCCATCCATTACATGTATCCATTCTCTCCCAAACTCCCCTCCTATCCAGGTTGCCACATAAAGTTGAACAGGATTCCATGTGCTAATAGAAGGTCCTTGTTGGTTATTCATTTTAAGTGTAGCAGTGAGTACATGTCAATCCCACACTCCCTAACTATCCCTTCCCCCATTCTTCCCAACCAGCAACCATAAGTTTGTCCTTTATGAGTCTCTTTCTGTTTTATAAGTTCATTTGTATCATCTCTCTTTAGAGCCCACATGTAAGGGATGACACATGATATCTCTCTGGAAGGAGGCTTCTTAACCACTGGACCATCAGGGCAGTCCCTCCTCTTTTCATAAGGACTCCAATCCTATTGGATTAGGGCCAGTCTATTTCAGTGTGACTCAGATTAACTAATTATACCTATAAAAATCCTATTTCCAAATAAGGGCCTCTTCTGAGGTGTTGGGAATTAGGATTTTGAGACGTGAATTTTGGAGGAGGCACAATTCGGCCCAAGACATTTGGTCACACTAACCCCATTTTGAGTGCTTGATGGGACATGTGGCTTGTGGCTACTGTTTTGGATAATGCAGACACAGAATCCATCCATCATCACAGAAGTCCTATGGGGCAGGGAGGGGAAAGTTCTAAGCATGTATAAGCTAGGATTGCATGCTTGCGTCAGTCACTCAGTCGTGTCCGACTCTTTGCGACCCCACGGACTGTAGCTTACCAGGTTCCTCTGTCCATGGGATTCTCCAGTCAAGAATACTGGAGTGGGTTGCTATTCCCTTCTCCAGGGAATCTTCCTGACCTAGAGAACGAACCCATGTCTCCTGTGTCTCCTGCATTGGGCATCAGCAGGTGGGTTCTCCCTTCCCAGAGCGCCCCCTGGATAACCCATAACCTGGGATACTTCTTATATTTTCCGGATTCCTGACCACGTGTGGGGTGGAACAGTGACAAGGTGGGTGGGGTCTTGGCAGAATTTGGGGTGAGTGAACCCCGGGCTGCCCTGAAGCTCTTGACCTGAAACCCCGGGCCTGTGTCAGTTGGGCCTGTAGGCCCCATGGCCCCCTCCTCCCCGTGAGTGTCACACTTTGCTTTGACTGAACTGGACTATTTGCTGCTCCTTCCCATCTGGGACCTTTGCACCTGTCTTTGTTAACCCCACTAGAGTGGCCTGTGCATCCTTCAGGTCTCAGCTTCAGCATCACCTCCTCCAGGAAATCTCCCTGATTTCTCCTCTTCCTTAGCCCTCTTCCAGGCTCACACATCTGCCTATGCATCTCCATCACAGCTCCAATCACACCTGGTCACACATGCACCTTCTCCCCCGGATTTTGAGCTCCATGATAGGGGAGTTAGTGACAGTGTTTGGGTCACTGCTGTGTCCCAAACACAGCACGGGACCCAGCAGATGGGAGGTGCTCCATGAACTAGAGCTCTGGTATAACTGGTTCCAGCAGCATGCCTTCCACTGAAACCTCTTCACCTCCTTATTCCCCACCTCCCTAACTGAGGTGGAGCTGTCCTCATGAATGCAGTCCTCTGCTCTTAGGTGGCTCAGGTGTCTGTGACCCATTGCTGTTCCCCAGCCCTGCCATGCACCACGGGCTTCAGTTTCCTCATCTGTAAAATGGAGATACCGATATCTCCTGCCCTCTTGGGATGTTGATAAGGCAAGGAATGTAAAGGCTCTCAAACTGTGCATGTTTGTGTAATGTTCTGTGCTCAGTGCTCAGTCGTGTCTGACTCCTTGCGATCCCGTGGACTGCAACCCGTCAGGCTCCTCTATCTGTGGAATTTTCCAGGCAAGAATACTAGAGTGGGTTGTCATTTCCTCCTCCAGGGGATCTTCCAGACCCCAGGATTGAACCAGTGTCTCCTTTGTCCCCTGCATTCGCAGGTGGATTCTTTACCATTGCACCACTTGGGAAGCTTGTTTTTGTAACAGGGAAGAACAAATCTGACTCCCTATTAGATCTGTTCCTCTTACTTTCACCTTTGTGCCCTGTTGCCTGTCATGCTGATTCTGCACCTTTTGTACAAGAATGTTGCATTATAGCCTGAAATATACAGGAGAGCCTGTCCTCAAGGCTCTGAAACTTGAATCTATTCATACAGAGGTAAAAAGTTGCAGAACAGAGAATAACATTTGTCTCACTGGAGGTTATAGGAACATCTGTCCTTCGAGGCCAGCTGCAAGAACAAAGGATTCCAACCCTAAGAAGTCTGCAACAATCAACCACGTCCCTGTCTTACCTTGCTTTGCTGAAACCCTTTGGGGAGTATGAGTTTATGAGGCATGAGTCATTGGTCTACTTGCATGGCCCTGCTTTCTCTGCTCCAACTCCCAAAGTTTTGGTTTGTTTGTCCTCGCTGTGAATGAACTTGCTTTTGGTAACATAGATAAATGAATAATAACAATGAAGCCTTAAAGACTACTCAGTTGTTCTAATCACCTGTGTGTTAATTTATTTAATCCTTGCAAAACCTCCAGGAGGCAGATACTGTCATTAACTTCATGTTACAGATGGAGAAACTGAGACCCAGAGAGGTTAGGTAGCACATAAGTTCACACAGCTGGGAAGAGGCAGAATTGGGATTCAGACTCAGACAGGTGACTTCCTGATCCCTGGTCGTTACTGCCTTTTTAATGAATGAATGAATGAATGAATATCAGTTCCTTCCCTCTTTGGAAAACTAAGAATTAATGTTTCAAGTTATTCTTTGGTTTCCAAGGTTTCACCTCCATAAAGCAGGATTAGTTGAAACTCCCAATTTTACAGACAGAAAAACCAAGGCTCAGGGGAGGAGGTGGCATGGGTAGCCCTAAGATCCAAGTCTCGTAATCTGAGCCAGATTCAGGCCCCTTTCTTGCTCTGTCTCTGGGTGAGTGTGTGTGTGTGTTGCCTGTTCATAGCCTGGCTGGGAGGAGCAGGGGTAGATGGAGAAGCAGATAATAAATATTTGCTGATGAAGATCACTTGGGCCAGAATGAGTTCTCACCCCTCTCCCTGCCCTGCCAAGCCACTCTGGACTCCTCTGGCCTGCGACCCCCCCGCCTCCCCCTGCCCGGAGAGACCTGGGGATGGCCAGAAGCAGGTGACATAGCTGGGAGGGATGGGCTGGTGTGTTAGGGTGTTCATGACTCATTTATTCACTCACTTATTCACTTAATGACTGTGTGTCAGGCTCTATTCTGGGCACTGGGGTTGCAGCTGTGAACAACCTGGCACCTGCTTGCACAAAGGTCACAGTTTAGCGTGGGTGACAAACACCAAACTAAGAGTCCAATGTTATTTTTGGTAAGGGACTACCCATGCAGAAAGCAGGAGGGGTCTGTGAGGGTTCTGCAGGAAGAGAAGATGCAGCAGCTCCAAGGCTGCATGAGCTTGGTGCATTCTAGTAATACCCGCATTTATTGAGCACTTCATGTATGCCTCATCCTTTCAAAGTGCGTTCACGTGAACTATCTTACTGAATCCTCACACACCCCTGAGTAGCCTGGGAAGAGTATTTGATTATTTATCATCGTATTCGGCAGGCAGTTGAGGAAATGGAGGCTCAGAGAGGTGAAGAGACTTGCCCGAGGTCACACAGCTGGGAAGTGGAGGAGCTAGGACTTGAACTCATGTTATTAGTCAACACAACTGCCTCCTCTCACTTGGGACAGAAGGGAGGCTCAACTTCTTAGACAACAGTACCAGAGCCTAGGGGCTAGGGCCATTGTGTTCTGCACCCTATAGCCTTAGCCTTCTCATCCGTACAGAGGGTATGAGTTACTGATGACCCTTAAGGCCTCTGACCCAGGGACAATTGGGTTCTTAGGGTGGGCAGATTAGAAAATATTAATTTAAGACACTCAGTAGAATTTGAATTTCTGATTATCAACGAGTTACTTTTTTACTATGAGTATGCCCCAATATAATTAAGCCTAAGTATAAATAATTATATCATCAACCCCAGCACAACGCCAGGTTGCAGACTACAGGTCCCATAATCCACTGCGACGTCCCCTTTTAGGAACCTGTCATGATTTTTTGATTCTTCTTTCATTCATTTATCCAAAAATTATATAACCCACCCGTTGTGTGCCAGGCCTTGGGTCAAGTTCCGACGAATACATCAGTGCACAAAGCAAACACAAGTCTTGCCCTCAGGCAATTTAACATCTATATTCTTTGGGAGTTTTAAGTGTTTTTTCCCAGACATCTGCCAGGAAGACTTCGGCTCCCATGATCCCTTGTGCTTGCTCGAGACTACAATTCCCAGGAGCCCTAGCGCAACAGGTCCGCCCCTCTCTTCCTTATTTCTAACTTTCTTCCGGGTCGCAAGGTCACCTCCTGTACAACCTCTTTTCTCTCGTCCCTCGCCTTTCTCCCACGGCAAAAACAGGGTTTCAGTAAGTTACACTGCTAATAGTTTGTTTTAAAGTCTCCGTATTTTCTCACTTGGAGTTTAAGCGGAACTTTAGCCGACAGTCCACCACAGCTTTATTAGGGAGTAACAGAATGGGCCCACAACTCCCATGTGGCTCCGAGAGCCGGGAAGACTACAACTGCCAGTAGGCAGCGCGGCGGACGGGCGGCCCTCGGCGGTGCCGGCAGGACCCCGGGGCGGGCGCGGGCTGCCCCGCGCGGCGCCCGCAGGACCCCGGCGCCTACCCATGCCGAGGTGAGTACGCGGGAGCCACCGCCACCGCCGTCCCGACCCCGCCGCCGCCCCGCGCGGCCCCGTCGCAGGCCAGGATGCTGGAGGAAGCGGGCGAGGTGTTGGAGAATATGCTGAAGGCGTCGTGCCTGCCTCTCGGCTTCATCGTCTTCCTGCCCGCGGTGCTGCTGCTCGTCGCACCACCGCTGCCCGCCGCCGATGCGGCGCACGAGTTCACCGTGTACCGCATGCAGCAGTACGATCTGCAGGGGCAACCCTACGGTGCGTGGATCCGGGCCCCTGGCCTCCCCCTGGGCCCGGCTCTTCTCCTGGGCTCTTGGTCTCCCCCAGCTCAGCCTCCCGGCTGGGGCCCTGACCTCCCGCCCAGCCTCCCTCCTCCCTAGGGCCCCGGCCTATGCCGGCCGGGATGCCCCTTCCCGTGGTTCGGTCTCTGCTCCCTGGGCCTCAGGACCTGCCTCTCCCACACGTCCAGCAGGAGTTAAGCTTGCAGACCTCACTTGGGCCGCCAGACCCTTTACCGGAGCTCCAGGCAAGTCCGAGCCTGGATACCTGGACCGCTGCTGGGCTCCTAGCTCTCTGTGTCCAGTGTCCTGGGGACCCACCGTGCTGGCTCCCACAGCCCTCTGGCCCCGTCCCCGACAAGGGCTACCTGCTCCAGAACGCAAAACTCCCTCCCAGCCTTAGGCCACACTGTCGCTGCTCCTGACCTCCTGGGTCCCCTCTCTCTCCCCAGTCCCCAGCTGGAACAGAACGCCAGCCTTGGGCCTCCTTGATTTGGAGTGGAGTCTCTCAGCGCCGTTCTTCCAGGCTAAGCTGGCCAACCCTGCACAGCCCTTCAGCACCCCGGTGCACTTTATCTAGTGCTCACATTCTGCCCTGCTTTAGAGCTCAGAGCTCTGATCGCTCACCCCAGCCTGTCTCTATGTCGAGGCCCTCCCTACTCCCTGGTCCCAGCTCATGAATTAGGTTCCTCAGAAATTATCCTGCCTTTGGGCTCCTGAAATCCGTTGGACCCCATGTACTGCTTCCTGTTTGGGAACATACCCACCCCTCAGCCCTTCTGCTGCTCCTTCTCCCCAGGATTTCAGGCCTCCAGGCCTGGATCCTGCCTTGCTTCTATTCTCCAGCCCTGCCCCCTCATCTGTTAAAGTCTTTTGAAAGTGCTCTCTCTTTTCCCGGCCTTTATGTATCTGGTGTTCCAGAACCTTCTGGCCTCTGGTTTCTCCCCCAACTTGGTGTCTAAGGCCCGTCCACCCCATGAGGGCTTCTCCTCCCCAGTCCCCCGGTCCCCTCATCTCTGAGCCCTGGTTCTCTTGGACTGACCTTTCTTGTTGGAACATCAGGGCCAACCTGACTCCCCTGGATCCCTCGCCACCGCCAGGTCCTCGGGGAGCCCCAGTGTCTGGAGACATCCTCCTCAGACCCCTTCTCACCCCAGAGTTACATCATTTCTGTTAAGTGCAGTGGTTGTCAATCCATGGGTCTCTGAGTGATGACTTTGGGTTGTCATGATTGACAGCCTCCTGGCATTTAGTGGGGCCAGGCCAGGGGTGCTGCCCCACACCTCACTGTGCCTGGGACAGCCTCACTCAGAAAATTATCTGGGCCAGATTGTCAGCAGTGCCAATGGGGAGAACTCAGAGTTACAGTGTTGGCTGCAGATCCCAGGCTCCTCACCAGTGGGGTGGTAGGCCAGGAGCCCCTAAGGAGTGGGCAGTTTATATGTGTTGTTGGCATCCCCCTGGGAAGAGGGTCTATGCCAGTGGTGTCACAGGTGGCCCTTTGGGATGACTTTTGGCGTTTCATCATCATAATTCTGAATAGCCACGTGTGACTAGCAGCTCTGTCCCGGTCTGGAGGATCCCGCCATCCCATTGGTGGTATCCTAGCTCTCTCCAGATCAACTCGCCGGTCCGTCCCTCACCGTGTCACTCCCCTGTCCTGGCTCACGCTCGGAGCCTTGCTGCGAGCTCTCCTAGCACACTCAGCTCTGCTCCGGCCCATTGGGCAGCTGTAATCTGGCCGCGTGGATGCCCCCTGTCTCCTGCTGACTGCTCAGCGCTGGCCTGCTTGCTGATATGGCCCCCTGTCCTTGCCCAGACAGGCACTTCCTGACACTTGTTCTCCATGTGGGCCCTCGGAACCTTCAATACTTTCTCCCTGTCCTCCCCTCCTCTCTCTGAGTCCTTTGCCCCCAGTCCTTGCTATTCTTTTTTCTGACCCCGTGACTCCCTCACCCCACACACCCTTCTTCCTGGCCCCCATCTTTGCCAGACACTGAGCGGGCTCCGGGATGAACAGAGGGGCCTGGCGGGGCACCCACCCATCTCGGCTCACACATCTACACCCCCACCCTGGTCCCGCCCAGCAGTGTCCCCCGTTGGCAGGGATGTGGGGTGCCCGCCACTGCCTGGGGAGATGCTGGTGCGATAGTCCAGTGGAGCAGGGAACCCCAGCTCCCTCCCAGTGGTGGAGAATCTGAGAGCTGCTCTGCTGGGTCATCACTGATTGCAGTGTCCCCAGCATCGTGCATGCCCTTGCTCTGAACCTGGTTTCCTAACTTCCTGTCCGCTCTCCGCACCTCTTGAGAAACCGGCAGCCGGGCAGGAGAGGTGTGTGCTCTTTGAGCTGGGCCCTGGGTGTGGCCTGCCTCCCCGCCACCCTCCCACAACGGACTCCGGCCTCCTTGGGCTGGGCCGCTCATGCCCATCCCACTTGGTCCCCTTTAGAAACGGCCCTGGTAGGCGGGGACGTGGGCACCAGGACGGGCACTCCAGCCCTGGTTGTAAATAAAGTTTTATTGGCACTCTGCCACGCCTGTGGTTGGCTTTGCACTGCATAAGACTAGTGCTACTGCAGGGAGAAAGGACTGGCCTTCGATTGCAAAGTCTGCGACCTCCATTCAGGTCTGGTCCCATTGTGGGGACCTGCAACTTCCCGTCCAAGTGTCCAGAGCCCGTCATGATGCAGGGGCAATAGGCCTCGCAGACTTCAGCCTCGCGCCAACCAAGGCGGTCTCTGCTCTTGGGGTGCTTGGCCTCTGAGGGGGCACTTGGGGGGTGGCGTCTGCCTGACCCTGCTCTCACCCCCTCCTTTCGCTCTCTGGCCATCCTCCTCCCCCTGGAAAGCGGGCCACAGTAGGCTCCACAGGCGGCCTTGTGTGTCCCCACCCCCAGGAGGCTGCGGCTGGGACAGGTGGGGCGCGGGGGAGGGGCCCACCTGCCCTTTCAGAGTTTCAAGGGCTCCTGAAGGTCTCTGCCGCCCTCCCCTACCAGGCCCTCGGGGGCTCCCATGTCACCCTAAAGCAGAAGAGGGGCCCTGGAGGGGTGGGGAGAGGCATGGAGGCCCCAGCCTGGGGTGCACGGCCCGGCTGCCTTGGTCACTGGCCCCTGCCCTTGAGACGGCCCTGCCCTTTCCACCTGGGACGCTGTCCCTTCTGTGTCCTGCCGGTCCCCTCCCCCGGACTGGCCTTCAGGATGGGCTGTAGAAAGCAACCCCTCTTCTGCTGGCCAGTGCATTCCTGCAAAGCAGTGGTGGGGGGGGGGGCATCCTGCCCCCAGTCTAAGCCTGAGGCTTCGTGGGGGCCTGGTGTGTCCCCAAGGACACCATGTCACCTTGCCTGGCCGCCTGGTTCTCCAGGCAGCACGGTCCGGCTCCGTGGGGAAACAGACCTGTTTGTCTGCATTGTTGCCTTGACACTTGCTGTGAGGGGCTCGGGGTGGAGGCCCTGGGGCCACACCTGCCCCCGGTGTAGGAGGATTAGTGTGCTTGCTTTGTGTATCCCAGCTCAGCCGGGGCCTGTGAGACATCTTGGGCACTGTGTGCCTTTGTCATCTGGGAGGTCTGACCTAAGAATCTGGAGTTTCGGCAGCATCCTGCTGAGTGCTAGTGGCCCCGCCAGTTGAGGGGGCCTGCCCGAGCCCCACCTCCCTCAGTCCAGGGAGGACAGAGGGCCCCGAGGGCCGTGCACCCAGGCTGTGCAACCACGGGAGTCCATGTGCCACCTCAGATGTCTGCCCTGCTGCTTGCCCCTCCAGCTCTCAGGGCAGCGGTGCCGTGTGTGAGGGGACCCACCAGCCTTAGAACAGTGGGCTTCACTGGTGGCTCAGACAGTAAAGATCTGCCTGTGATGCAGGAGACCTGGGTTCAATCCCTGGTTTGGGAAGATCCCTTGGAGGGGAAAATGGCAACCCACTCCAGTATTCTTGCCTGGGAAATCCCATGGACAGAGGAGCCTGGTGGGCCACAGTCCATGGGGTCACAGAGTCAGATACGACTGAGCGACTTTCACTTCGGCTGCACAATCCTGGTTACAACCTGCCCCTTCCGCTCTGGTGGGAAGAAGTCAGTTGCTTGGAATAAGCTTGTGAGCAAGGCAGGGTCCATGCCAGGAGGCAGCTTCACACTTCTACCTGATTCTCTGGATCTTTTCTTGAGACAAATCTGGGTGGCCCTGCTCCCAGGGGACACGGGGCCATGTCTGAGGTTGTCTGTGATTACCATATCTAGAGGGGTCCTGGCAACACGGGTGTGGGGGCCAGGAGGCTGCCCTATACCCTACAGCATCCAGGATGGCCCACAGGCTACAGCGTGGCCCTGACTGGAAGAAGGTGGACAAACCCTGGTGCTTGCCCTCCTGAGGGGCCTTGGGGAGACCAAGCATTTGTTCATTCATTCCATGTCCTAAGTGGGCTAGGCTGGTAGTTGCTAGGTGATGCTGGGTTCACACTGCAGTGAACAAGCAACTAGCCCTGGAACCCCCAGGCTAGTTGCGGGGTGGGGGGGTGGTGGCCTGGAGAGGGCGGGGTTTGGGTTTTCCCCAGGACATTGGGTTGGGAACTGGGGGTGAGGAGTTGCAGCCCTCTAGGTTGGGGGCTCCCCCTGCTGGTGTCTGGACCCTGGAGTGGAGTGGGTACTGGGGGGACTGCAGGGCGTCTCGGAACAATCTGGGCAGTGCAGGAGGCTGGGGGTTGGGTTTGCTCAGCTGATACTTGTCAGCCCTGCGGGTCCTGGAGCCACGGGGAACCCAGTGGTGAAGGACTCGGGGAGCAAGACCACCTGAGTTCCAGTCCCAGTGCTCTTGCCTGGGTCTTGCCTGGGGGTGGAGGCGGGTGGCTTGGGGGGACCCTGGCTGCCTCTATCGGGTGAGTTGAGGGCACCAGCCCCCTGAGCTGCTTCAGGGACACGGGGTGGGGTGGGGACACATTGCCCGGCCCAGCGGGCAGCCCGCACATGATTGCCGGGTGGCTGAGCAGACAGGGACATCACTTTCTGGGGGATGACTGCAGCACGGGGTATGGTGCGGAGAGGCGAGTGCGAGAGCAGCCAGCCGGTAGGGTCTAGGAATGTGGGTGTGGAGGGGAGGTTGGCCCAGGGAGAAGGTTCTTGGAAGGCCCCGCGAGCCCCCGGGGGGTGGCTGGCGGACGGCCGGGGTCCGGCACCCCACTCAGGGTCGCGTCCCCACAGGCACGCGGAACGCGGTGCTCAACACAGAGGCGCGCACCATCGACGCGGACGTGCTCAGCCGGCGCTGCGTGCTCGTGCGACTGCTGGACTTCTCGTATGAGCGCTACCAGCGCGCCCTGCGCCAGTCTGCCGGCGCTGTGATCATCATCCTGCCGCGGACCATGGCCGCTGTGCCGCAGGACGTCGTCCGGGTGAGCCCCGCCTCGCCCCGGGGTCCCCTCTCTCCCTCCGAGCCCCCTTACCCCCCCCACACCGCAAATCAAACGCGTGCTTCTCGCGCAGCAATTCATGGAGATTGAGCCCGAGATGCTGGCCATGGAGACCATCGTTCCCGTGTACTTTGCCGTAGAGGACGATGCCTTGCTGTCCATCTACGAGCAGACGCAGGCCGCCTCCGCCTCCCAGGGCTCCGCCTCTGCCGCTGAAGGTGGGCTGGTGGGGGTTGCTCCAGGGTGGGGGGGCGCGTGAATGGGCTGCACTGTGCTGTTTCTGCCCCCCCCCCCCCCCGCCTTTCCAAGCCAACACGTGCTTAACCGTGGGGGCACCGGTCATCATAGATCGCATCTTGGCAGCCGCCACCCGCAGGGAGGAATCTTCCCGGATCAGGGGTCGAACCCTCGTCCTTTGCACTGGCGGGTGTATGCATTACCAGTGAGTCACCAGGGAATCTCTACAGTTGTGTTTTTAAACGTTTAAATGTGTAAAGAACAAAAGGATTTGAGGCAGGGTGAGCTCCTGGGCGTTTTAAGCAGCCCCTGCCCCCACGTGAAGTGGACCGTTAGCTCACACCCTCTCCCGGTTCTGGAGATAAGAAAACTTTCCTTTTTAGGGATCTTTGGGTTCTCACACCGTCTCTGCTTTTGGGGCTGGGCTGGAGGGTCATGAGCTGTCTGATGGGAAACTCCTGTTTCGGCGTCCCTGCTCAAGTGATCCTTGGAAAGCTGGGTCAGAGGCAGTGTGCACCCCTCCGTGATTTAGGAAGGGGCCCTGATGGGGCAGAACGAGGGCACACATGGCTCCCACATGGGAACCAGGAGACTGTTTCACCAGCCCTTGTCCTGGATGCCCAGATTCTTTTCCATGTCCAGTTATCGCGTTGTGTTCTGTCCATGTGATCAGTCCTGCTTTTGCTCAGACCGAACGCTTAGAGTCTGGGTTGACGAGGACCCAGGTTCTGGTCTGGGACCCCCCCGCCCCAGCTGCTGCAGGGCAGTCACGGGGCTCAGGCTGACCCTCCCTGGCCCTGCATCCAGTGCTGCTCCACACCGCCACCGCCAACGGCTTCCAGATGGTCACCAGCGGGGTCCAGAGCAAGGCCGTGAGCGACTGGCTCATCACCAGCGTGGAGGTAAGTGCCTGGCGCCTAACTGCCTGTCCCCACTGGAGGGGCCTTCTTGGGCGAGGGGATCAAGTCACCACCTCTGGGGAGGTGGGGCTCCTCCAGCCCCTCCTGCTTCCCCGACCCCTTCCTCCCGTAGTGGCCACCCCCTTCCCTTCATGGAACATTTGCTGAGCTGGGAGAGAAGAGAGCTCGGGGCAGCAATTAAAGCAGAGTGCAGAAAAATCCAGACACCCATCTCCCATCAGGAGGCGTCCAGGCCAGAGCAAGCTCCCAAGTCCTCCCCTACTTCCATTCTCTCCATGGGCAAACGTGGGGTTTTATCACTGCTCCCCCCAGAAAAAAAGCTCTGAGCAATTTTGTTCCCACTTCCCGCACAAGGAGGCCTCCACTGTCTCCTTGTAGGGCAGCCCTCCATCCAGAGAGTAAAGGCTGCAGGGCCTTAGCGCCTGATGCCCTCAGGCAGTGCTCTGGACAGGCTGTCTTCCCAACTGCTCCTTGTTGGATTTGATGGAGGGCCGGTTTACACAAGAGGACGCTGACTCCTGGGCTCTACCTGTGCTGTCCCTGCGGGTGGGGTCTCCATCAGCAGAGCTCAGCCCTTGAAGGGTAGGCCTGGTTTCTGGGTGGAGAAGCAGAGCTGGCACCTTGGCCCCCAGCAGAGTCTGGCCCGCCTGTTTCTATAAATAAAGTTTTACTGGAAAGTGACCATGTCCACTGGTCCACTGGTGCCCACGCTGTAGCTGGCAGAGCCTAGAACCCTACCCCCCGAGGTGAGGGTGGCTGTTGCTTCCTATGGGCAGGCCCTTCACACCCATGTCTCTACAGGGGCGGCTGACTGGGCTGGGTGGAGAGGACCTGCCCACCATCGTCATCGTGGCCCACTACGATGCCTTCGGGGTGGCCCCGGTAGGTCTACGCCCTCCCCTCCCAGCTGGGGGCTCTAGCTTCAGGCTGCAGGGTAGCAGGGTTGGGGGAGCTTCCCACGCGTGTGGGGGTTGGGCCACGCCAAGGGGGCATCAGTCGGGTTTGGGCAGAGCTGGGATCTAGTGCGGGAGAGGAGGCGATCCCAGCTGAACTGGAAAGGAGGACCGAAGGTAAGATTGTGGGGGTGGGCTTCAGAGTGGGCCCCAGGCCGGGGTGGAGGTGGCTGGTGCTGCGCGCGGAAGTGGGCTCAGCACGCCCTTTCTTCCTGCCTGCAGTGGCTGTCGCACGGCGCGGACTCCAACGGGAGTGGTATCTCGGTGCTGCTGGAGCTCGCCCGCCTCTTCTCCAGGCTGTACACCTACAAGCGCACCCACGCCGCGTGAGTGACAGGGCCTGGGGCCCTCCAGGCCCACCCACCTACCCCCTCCCCAGGAATCCCACCAGGGTCTGGGCTGCTTCCAGATGCAAGAAAGAGAAACCCCTGCAAAGGTCTCTTGCAGGAAACTTGTCCACACAGCACGGTTCCCCAGGAGAGCAGGGCCCTGGTAGCCAGCGGGTCTCCGCAAACTTCACACTCCAGGCCACACACCTGCTCTCACGCAGATGGCTTGAGAAGCACTGTGTTCACGTTCCTTGGGGGTGCGGGGGGTGGGGGCAGGCGTTGAAATCAAGGTGTTGGCAGGGCCGCACTTGCTGTTTTTCTTTTATAAGGACTGCCGTGGTTGTGGTGAGGTGGGTGCAGCTGGGGTGGGGGCCCAGTTACATGGTCTTTCACCACCCCCCTGGCTTCACTCCTGCTCAGGGAGGTGGTGCTGAGTTCCCATCACTTCCTGTTTTCTGGTTTGTCCACCCAGTCTCTCCTGGTTCAGAGCTCAGAGAGGTCTCTGGAGCCTCCCTTCTCACCCTGGAGACACTGGGTGATGTTGGGATGTCTGTGGTTGTCAGGACTGGGGGGCTCCTGGCACTCACTTGTGGGGGCCAGGGATGTGCCCAGCACCCACAGTGCTCAGGATGCCCCGATGTCAGCAGTGCCAGGACAGGGTGGGATTTGGTACTCGGGGGAGACCACCCCCTCCTTGTCAGGAGCCTGGACTCCCACCTGTCAACTCTGTGTCCCCACTCCTCCCTGCCAGGTACAACCTCCTGTTCTTTGCTTCCGGAGGAGGGAAGTTTAACTACCAGGGCACCAAGCGCTGGCTGGAAGACAACCTGGACCACACAGGTGAGCAGCCCCCGCGGCCCGGGTGGGGTCTGGGCCCCCAGTACTCCCCCACACCGCCCTGCCCACCAGCCCTCACTGTCTGTAGATTCCAGCCTGCTTCAGGATAACGTGGCCTTCGTCCTCTGCCTGGACACTGTGGGCCGGGGGGACAGCCTCCACCTGCACGTGTCCAAGCCGCCCAGGGAGGGGACGCTGCAGCATGCCTTCCTGCGGGAGCTCGAGACGGTAGGTGCCCCGTGAAGGCTGAGTGGGAACACGGGAGCTGCTCGTGTGAACCCTGGGGCCTCAGTTGGGTTTCCGGGGGGCAGGTGGGCTTCTCCCCAGGTTCCAGAAGCAGGAGGTTCAGGGAGGGACTGGGGATCCATCGGGCGGCAGGGGCCACCTGTACAGAGGCCGGTGAAGCCAGGTCATGGCACATGGGCGCCAGGCAGAGCCTGACAGCCCCCCTTGCAGGTGGCCGCCCACCAGTTCCCCGAGGTGCGGTTCTCCATGGTGCACAAGAAGATCAACCTGGCTGAGGATATCCTGGCCTGGGAGCATGAGCGCTTCGCCATCCGCCGGCTGCCCGCCTTCACCCTGTCCCACCTGGAGAGCCACCGTGATGGCCAGCGCAGCAGCATCATGGACGTGAGGTGAGAGCCCCCCCACCCCCATTAGATTGAGCCAGTCGGGGCCCGTCAGGCTTCCTGGAGGAGGTGGTACCAGAACCGAGGGGCATGAGCCAGGAAAAGAGAGGGAAGAATTGACTGGGCGGGGTGCTGGGAGAGCCAGTGGCCACCACCTCACCCTGCCTCCCCGGCAACCTGCACCCCACACCCACTCGGGTCAGGATGTGTCGCCTCCGATGCTCCCCTCTGGTCCTGTGTGGCCTTAGCCCTCACTGACCCTGGCCTTGTGGCTGTGATGCCGTCCTCGACTCCGTCATCATGGGTCCCCTTCCCCTGCCTGTGTCCAGGCTCCCCTCCTTATGAGGACAGAGCCATGGACTTCGGGACCTCCTGCTCCACTCTGACCACATATTAACCAGTCATGTCTGCAGACACCCTGCTGCCAGCTCGGGTCCCATTCTGGAGTTTGGGCGGCCGTGGGTGTGGGGGACACCGTAGCCCCTCCACAGGGTGTTACCTCAGCTCTGCCCTCAGCAGCCGGCGGAGGCAGGCAGATGTCCTGGCCCCCGCCCGCATACCCCCAAGTTCTGGCGGAGCACACAGACCCAGAGCCGTCTGGTCACTGAGGCCCACGGGCATCAGGACTCGGCTGGGCACCCGGGGCAGCCCTGTTGGGGGTGGGCCTGACCAAGAGAGGAGCCCGAGGGGTGGGGTGGGGGACCATCCTCTGGGAAGGCTGTTGTTTTTTCTGTCTTTTCATCATCAGATACGTATGTAATCATTCTTGGTTTTGGGTGATTGATGCCACTTCCAAATATGTGTTTTTAAAATCTGCCCTCTAAGGGAGGTGGGAGGGGAGTTTAGGATGGGGGGGACCTCATGTACAGCCATGGCTGATTCATGTCGATGTATGGCAGAAACCACCACAATACTGTAAAGAAATTAACCTCTAATTAAAATAAATAAAGTAAAAATAAGTAAATAAATAAAATCTGTCCTCGAAGGTCTCGAGTTGACTCAAAAACCCTTACCCGAAACACGAGGCTCATTGCTGAGGCCCTGACCCGCGTCATCTACAACCTGACAGAGAAGGTGAGCCCCTGGCCACCCGCGAGCCACCCCCTCCCCGCCACCCCCTGCCCCCCAGCCCCCAGCGGGTCTGAACTCAGCCCCGGCCTGACTCTCTGCAGGGAACGCCCCCGGACATGCCGGTCTTCACGGAGCAGATGGTAATGGCCTGGCCGGCGGGTGGGTGGGCTCGGGGGCGTGGTGGGAGTGTGGGGGTCCTGTGACCACCGCCGCGTCCCCGCAGCAGATCCAGCAGGAACAGCTGGACTCGGTGATGGACTGGCTGACCACCCAGCCACGGGCCGCCCAGCTAGTGGACAAGGACGGCACGTTCCTCAGCACGCTGGAGCACTACCTCAGTCGCTACCTGAAGGAGGTCAAGCCGCACCACGTCAAGGCCGACAAGCGGTGAGGCCAGGCGCAGCCCCTGCCACCAGCTGGCAGAGGGCCCTTCCAGGGTCTCCCTGCCACACCCTGGAACCAGATGGAGCAAATGGAAACTCAGGGTGAAATGTAACAGGATGAGTGAACAGTGCGGTGCCCTATTAAATCTGAGCTACAGGTGAACGACGAACTATCCCAGCATAACACCTCTCACGTGGTGTCTGGGACGCACTTACACTGAGGGCCCGTGTTGTCTTTATCTTCAGTCCTCACAGAACTGAAGCCCTGTGTTTTATCTGGCAGCCCTGTACCCCTGCCCACCCTCTGTGATCCATCTGTGCCCTGGGCCTCAGGCGACTCCTACCCCAGGCCCCCTTCTGCCCTCAGAATGCTCCTGCCCACTGCAGGCCTCCTGGATTTTGTCTTCTTTCTGTTTGATGCTCCCCAGTTCCCTGGTTGGGCTGAGTGAAGGCTGAGGAAGGGTGTCTGGGGGACCCTCAGGCAGGAGACACCCCTCCTCCTCCACAGCTCAGTGCCACTCACTGGCTCTCCATCTTCCTCCCAATTTGTGCCACTCCAGGAAGACAGAGCTCTTGAACAGAAGAAGAAACTGAGGGTCACAGTGGACCCACAGCTGTGGAGCTGGGGCTTCCGAGTCCTCAGCTGTGATCATTCTCCCTCTATAGAAACCAGACCAGAGAATTTCCACAGTCACCACACTTTGTTCTTAGAGAGTTGTTGGCCCAGAAAGCCATAGGAGAGGTGTTAGTTCAGAATAAAGGACGTCCTTCCTTAGCACAGACAGTGGCAACCCCCTGTAGACACATACCCAGGGTCCTCCCCGCTGCTGTGTTCCTGGGCTAGTGGGGCTTCGGGTGGCTCTGATGTCAGGATGAGCCCGCTGAGCAAGTGCTCTCTTGCCAGGGACCCCGAGTTTGTCTTCTACGACCAGCTGAAGCAGGTGATGAACGCCTACAGGTGAGCACCCTGAGTCACTGCCTAGGGGCCTGGGTCCTCAGAACAGCTGGGAGCAGCCGGCTGACCGCCTCCGCCACCCCTCCCCTCCCCAGGGTCAAGCCAGCCATCTTCGACCTGCTCCTGGCCGTCTGCATTGGTGCCTACCTCGGGATGGCCTACACGGCAGTCCAGGTGAGCAAGGGGCGGCGGGAGGCGGGTCCTTGTGGGAGCCCAACGGGTGGCCCTTTTCCCCCGGTCTCATTGGAGTCCTCCCACCGCCCCCAGCACTTCGACCTCTTATACAAAACTGTTCAGAGACTGCTGAAGGCCAAGACGCAGTGACCGGGCTGCCATCCCCGCCTCACCTGGAGGGCAGGGCCTCCCCCTTGGTGGCCGAAACCCTGAATTACAGAGCTTTTCTGTGTTGCTCTTGAGGACTTGGGGGCTTCTTTCTCTTTTTTGTCCTTTGTGCTCCCCTGGAGGAGCATTGTTGGTGGCCTGGGGCCAGGTCACAGACTCGGGGACAAATGTGTGGATGAGCCCCCCACCCTGGAGTTGGCCCCATGGCCCTGGGGTGTAAGCCATGGTCAAGAAAGAGGAAACGAGTCCAGCGTGGCCTTGGGCATCACCCCTGCCTAAGACGCTGACCCTGGACCTGGCAGTCGCAGGCCAAGGAAGTCGGGCCAGGCCACCCCCCAAACCCCCAGCCCTCCACCACGCTGGCTCTGTTCTGACCTCGAGGCTGCCCTCTGCATTCCCCGACTACCCCCTCCACCCCGCCACCCCGCCCCGCGTTCCAGTAACCCGGGCTCTCCCTTCTGTCCTGTCTGGAGAGTGCACCGCAGGGCGTCTGGGTCTCTGGATTCGGCCCCTCCCTCCCAGCCTTGTGCTCCGCCTGCACACCCCCCAGCCCCCAGCTGAGGGGAGCCAGCTCAGGGGGCGGCCTCCAGACTCCCTGAAGCCCCTGGGCAGCTGGCGCCCTCCCTGTCGGCTCTCACACCCCGCCTCTGGGTTCCTGTGCCCCGCCCCCTGCCTGGGAGCCCCGCCCACCTCTCCTAGTCCCTGGGGCTCCTGCTCAGCCTGTTCTGCGGAGCCGTGGGGGCGGAGGCAGCCCCTCTGCTCCTGTCCCGGGGCCTCGGTTTCCTCATCTGCAATGAGGAGGTCGCATTCAGGGGGAGCGTGTGCCCCCATATCCCCGGAGGGGACGTGACCACAGGGGAGCTCTTCCTGGGACCTGGAGGGGGCAGGTCCAGGCCTGAGCCCCTGGGAAGGGGTGAGGTGGGGGAGGTGAGCAGGGCTGGGAGTGACCTCAGGGAGACCCAGGTGTACCCATTCATTAGCAATATAATCAGTGACTTGTCCAGTGCTGGGGACTCAGGGTCCAGGAGGAGGGACTTCAGGGGCCTACTGGCCACCAGGGAACACTTTCCAGCCTTCCAATTCATAGGGGCCGGGGGCTGGCTCCCTTCCAAAGCCACCTACCACCCACTGGAGGGAACAGGTGGCTATCTGGCAGGCCTGGGAGGGGCAGGCATGGGGGCTGCAGGTTCCTTGCCCCTCCCCGTCCAGTGGCTTGTCTGCCCCAGACTGTTTACCCGGTGCCCGGCCCCTTCTAGGGCGATGCGGGGCTGGTGGCCCACCCTTCCCCGGGTGTGAATGTGTGAGCCAGGGACCGGCTGGGGATGCCGAGTGAGTGTCCTTCCTTCCCGAGGGGCATGGTCAGGGCTACTGACTAGGTGGAGCTCAGGCTGCTTGTGGGATGCGGCCAGACGATGAGAAATAAAGCCATAACAAACCACAGCGTTGCGTGTCCTGTCGGGGCTGGGGCCTCGGGGTCTGGACAGACCCCCTGAGGGTCGTATGCATTTCTTGGGGGGTTGGGGAGGAGTCTCATGCCTGTATAAAGGGCAGAGTCGGCATCCTTCCTGCCCCTAGCTGGGACCACCACCTGCCCCATGACGACATGAAGGTGACAGCCAGCTCAGAGCTGATAGATCATGGGGGGGGGGGTGGCATACCACAATACAGCTGGGATACATTATCCGCCAGCCCTGGAGGCAGTGAGGGCCAGGGTCCCGTGTGTCTCCCGGCTCCTGGCCTCAGGGTCGCGTGGCCGTCTCTTCTGACGTCTCATAAGCACGCGTCCGTCTTTGGGTTTAGGGTGCATCCTGCTCCAGCCTGCATGCCAACTCACTCTACCTGCAGACGTCCTGTTTCCACATAAGGACACGTTCTGAAGTTCTGTATGGTTGTGAATTTGGAAGGACACCATTCAGCCTGATATGGGAGGAAGGGTGATGGCTGTATGAAGGTCAAGCCCACTGGCCAGCCACAGCCCCAGCCCAGGCTTTGGGGAGGCCTTGGCCAGTCATCGGGGTACCTGGTGCAGCTCCACACTGGGGTTCCAGCATTGGGCTCCCTGCTCTGGGCCTGGGAGCTCCCGAGGGGATCGCCTGCTTCCTGGGCTCCACTAGGGGGACCCGTGATCTGGGGCCTGTCCCTATTGGCTTCTGCCTGTCCACACCGTTCTCAGTGCCTTTGTGTCTGGGTCCCTGCATCGGGGGCTTTGGTTTTGGGGAGCAGAAAACAGAGTACAGAGACGTGTGCAACGGGGAGAGGAAGCCTGGGGGAGGTAGGCAGTTCAGGGGGTATGGTTTGAACTCCACGGCTTCAGCCAAGAAAGAGGGCTGTGAGATCCTTGACCCCAGGGAAGTGGGGAGCCTTGGGGGAGCTGTGGGCAGAGGAGGGGTTGGACTCAGGTGCTCACGGGCGCCCTCTGGTGGCAGCTTTGGGGAAGGCAGACTGGGAACGGGTACCCCCAGCAGGTCATGCTTGTCCAGGTGGGGGACACATGAGGGGAGAAAGGGGCTGGGTTCCCTGGACCTAGAGGAGAGGCTTGAAGGCTGTTTCTGGACCATGTGTGGGCCTGACCACAGGGCTGCTCAAGTCTCCATAGTGACTCCCGTCTGCAGGGTCAGTGTCACTGCCGCCCCTTCTCAGACCCTTGTGTCCCCCACACCACTACCCCGAGGCTGGAAGGTGGCTCTGGCCCCAGCTTGGACTCAGGTGAAACTCCCTACGGTTCAGGGGAAAAACCAACCCCTCCCCTTATTTCAACACTGGCTGTTAACTTCCTCTTCCTTTTCCACGAAACTGGTCCCATTATAACCAAAAACATGAAAACCACAACACCAACAGGCAGACACAGCTGCCGTTATGTATGTGCCGGTGTCTCCCCATCACGTCCACCCTGGGTATGTGGCGTGTGTACATGGGTGTACACCAGGTCACATTCTGGAAATGAGATCCACGTGTGAAAAGCAGTATTTCCGTAGGCACGTTAGGTGGTGAGAGGTGCACACATATGCACACATGTAACACGCACGGAACCACTGCCACATGGAAGGTGTGGTGTATGCATAGCCCTCAGCACTCCTCCTGGCTTCCATCCGCGACCCCTCCCTGTGGCCTTGTCCCCAGGTGCCCTCTTGTCCTGCTGCTGCAGATCAGTCTCATCCAACTGTGGAGTCAGCCAGTATTTCCCCACCACGTGCCAGGTGCCCTGCTGGGCATACAGACACAGCTGCCAAGCAGAGACCCTGGGGCCTGCGGTCCACTGGAGTAGAAATAAACCCCTCCCCCCGGTGGACATGAGGGGGCTTTTGAGTGACATCAGGGTGACAGGAGGGACTAAGCCATATGGAAATCCAGGATGGTGGTCCAAGCAGACTGCACAGCCCATGCAAATGCCCTGGGGCAGGACCAGGACTTGTGAGTTGCAGGAGCAGTGAGGAGGGGGCCTGTGTGGGTGGGGCAGTGATGGAGGGGGAGAGAGGAAGGAGGTGGGGGCACAAGAGGCCCCTGGGGAATTGGTGGGCATTTGCTTCCTGCTGTCAGTGTGATGGCAAGCTGTGGGGAGGGAAGGGCAGAGGAGAGGAGGGCTGCAGCAAGGCCACTGGCCCCCAGGGGACAGTTGTGAAGTTGACCCTGTTCTGTGGGCTCCCTCAGCACCAGTGAGCATGACCCCAGGTCCCCATCAACCCTGGGCAGCAGCAAACCATCTGGGCAAAGGTGCCATCCCTTACTGGGACCCCAGTAGCATTGATCTCTTCCCTGGGTCTGTGTTTTAAGGCTATAAAACAGGAAGAGCATCTGGTGAAACCATCTTGATCTCTCCTCTTTGTGCATCTCCCACTGTCTGTAACTTTCTCACTCTTAAAAACATCTATGTGTCTGTTTATGGTTATGTTGTTCAGTTGCTCAGTCATGTCCGACTCTGCGACCCCATGGACTGCAGCACACCAGCCTCCTCTGTCCTCCACTATCTCCCAGAGTTTGCTCAAATTCATGTCCATTGAGTTGAATCAATGATGCTATCTAACCATCTCATCCTCTGTTGTCCCCTTCTCCTTCTGCCTTTAATCTTTCCCAGTAGCAGGGTCTTTTCCAATGAGTTGGCCCTTCATATCAGGTGGCTAAACTATTGGAGCTTTGGCTTCAGCATCAGTCCTTCCAGTGAATATTCAGGGTTGATTTCCTTTTGGATTGGCTCGTTTGATCTTGCAGTCCAAAGGACTCTCAAAAGTCGTCTCCAGCACCACAGTTCGAAAGCATCAATTCTTCAGCAGTCAGCCTTCTTTATGGTCCAGCTCTCACACCTGTACATGACTACTGGAAAAACCATAGCTTTGACTAGATGGACCTTTGTTGGCAAAGTGATGCCTCTGCTTTTTAATACGCTGTCTAGGTTTGTCATAGCTTTCCTTACAAGGAAAAAGCGTCTTGTTTATGGATATGTACACAATATTCAGCTTCGCTTGTGTGTGGCCTACACATCTGTGGGTCACATTGTACTGTCCTTCTCTTGCATTACCTCTTGCTTTGGTATCTCTCTTACACTTCACGCTCCTTTCCTCCGCTGTGTAGTATTCTGTGCTCAGAAGGTACCATGGCTTATCTACTGGCACCCTGGTGATGTTCATACCATCAAAAGCCTTCATAGGTGCCTCTCGGGAGGGAGTGTGATTAACCAGATGCCAGAGAACTGTGGTCCTTGACTGTGTCTGCCCACTGCCCATCTTTGTAAATAAAGCTTTATTGGCTCATGGCCACAACCAGACCCACCCGGCTGTGAATCACACTCAGCTGTTTTCTCACTGCAGGGGCCACAAACCCTCAAGTGCTTACTGTTCCGGCTCTTTCTGGGAAAAGTTCATAGCCCCCCAAAGTCTGCCCTCTGCTTTCTCCCCTTTCTCATCATGGGACACGTCTGGCAGCTGCCAGAGCAGACTGGTGGTGCAGTCCTTTTGCAGGGGACACACGTCCTGGGCTTCTTTGGACATTTCAGCCTCAGTTCAGGGGCTTCCCGAGTGGTGCAGACGGTAAAGAGTCTGACTGCAATGTGGGAGACCCGGGTTCGATCCCTGGTTCGGGAAGATCCCCTGGAGAATGGAATGGCTACCCACTCCAGTAGTCTTGCCTGTTGAGTTCCATGGGTAGAGAAGCCTGGTGGGCTATAGTCCATGGGGCTGTAAAGAGTTGGACATGACTGAGTGACTAACACACACACACATCCTTGGCTTCTTTTGACATTTCAGCCTCAGTTCTGAGAGTTATTGATAATTTTAATCAGTGTTTGACCTACAGAAGGTCCAGAAAAAATTTAAGGGAGAAGAGGAGTGGGGGTCCAGGGGGCTCTGGTACAGGAACCAGGAATGAAGTGGGGGTGTCATTGCCGAGCTCAGGGTGATGTGTCTGCTGGGTGTCTCACAAGAGAGTCACTGTTCCCCCTTTGTGATTAATGAGCAAGTTGTGGGTCCATCCTCTAGTCCCAGAGTCGGTGACCACGGACAGTTCCTGCTTGAAACCACACCTCAGGGACCTGGTGCCCAGCAGGGACCCTCCTTCCATCCCTCTCCTAAAGGGACAGGTCAGGATCACATACCTGCTTCTGTGTCCAGTTTGCAGAGACAAAAGGATATCTGGGCAGGAGAAGTATCTTGCCTTAAGGTCCCTTGGCAACAGGACGCTGCTGGCAGTTACTTTTTATTTTTTTATCTTATTTTTTTTCCATTTATTTTTATTAGTTGGAGACTAGTTACTTTACAATATTGTAGTGGTTTGTCATACATTGACATGAATCAGCCATGGATTTACAAGTATTCCCCATCCTGATCCCTCCTCCCTGGCAGTCACTTTAAAAAATATATATATTTTTATTTGGCCACGTCCTGCAGCATGTGGGATCCTAGTTCCCCAGCTGGGGATTGAACTCATGCCCCCACAGTGGGAGTGCAGAATCTTCACCCCTGGACCACCAGGGAAATCTCCCACCTTTTTTATTTTTATTTTTTTAAGTCTTATTGAGATACATTCACACACCATGACATTTGCGATTTCAGTGTGTATAGTTCAGTGGGTTTTAGTCCATTCACAGAGCTGTGTATCTGTCAGCTCTATCTAATTCCAGACCGTCCTGTCCCACTTTCGAAAGGAAACCCTGCCCTCAGGAGCAGTCACCCCCAGCCTCTATCCCAGCCCCTGGTAACCGCAAACCCACGTATGTCTCTGTGGATTCTGCCTGCCCTGGACATTTCACAGAAATGGAATCCTGCAATATAGACCCTCATGCCGTTTTGATGGTGAGTTACAGAAGGTGAGCTAGTGAGGCTAGCTCATTCAGAAAAGAGCATGTATTCGTCTCTTTCTCCTTCTAACTTGGGGAGGGGGAAGAGCCTCTGACAAACTCCCTAGTTCAACACCCAGGCCCTCTTGTTCCCAGGCTCAGATTCCCGCGGGAAGAAGCCCCGAGGGCCAGAGGGGCGGGGCCACAGCAGAGGAGGGATGGGGGGAAGGGACCGTGACCCCTGAGGGGTGCATGGCTGGGTGCCTACTCCTATTTCCAGCCCCTCCTTTCCTTCCCCCACCTCCCCACGGGGGAGAGGTTTGCTGGGGGGGGGGGGTTGACGGAGTTGTGTTTCAGATTCCCCTCCCCCTGGCTGTGTCCAGGGAGTGCGGTTTGCTGAGAGAGGGGGCAGCGAGGGGTTGGCTCAATGAAAAACCTTTTCCCATCCCTGAAGTCAAATGGCGAGGGTCAGGGAGGATCTGGGGTCCCTGCAGGAAGGTGGATGGGCGGTTCCCTCCCAGCAGAGGGAGGGCAGTGGGGCTGGGGTGCCAAGCCCTGGACAGCCCCGGGTGCCTTGTGTCCTTGGGTGTGTGAAGGCGGGAGGCATCTGGGGCAGGTGGGGACTGCGGTACAGTATCTCTGGGGGACACACCTGAGCCCCTAAGCCCTGTCAGATGGGGACATTTCAATCTCTGGGGATGTGCCAGAGGAGGTGCACACAGCCTGGACAATGAGGATCTTGGGGGCCCTGGAGGGACAGGCCGAAGGACACAGGGCCCAAGGGGACGGGGCATGGCTGACCTTCACCCAGGAAGACACTTGGGCTGGCAGTGCAGAGACCCCCAGCACTGGTGCTCCACCTGGGCCCCCAGTCCCACTGGCTGACCCTCCCACCACCACCGGATGCACCCCCAAACCAAGGGCGGCAAGACCAGGACCCAGAAAGGACATTTCCCTTCATGGGCTCAGTCCTCGTCACACCCACGCCCTGTGAAATGAACCCACGCCCTGTGAAATGGACCCACACCCTATGAAATGAGAATCTTGCCTGTAGACATCAAGACGGGGACACAGTGGATGTCTCCTCACACCTTTGCTGTCCCTCACTTGGAGACTGGTTTGAAATAGAATCCCATGCCCCTCATCAGACCTATGGGGTTGGGGGTGGTTCTGCGTTTTCAACAGAATGCCTGCCCAGGTGGTCTGCACATCTGAGGGGCGGTGCAACGTGGACATTGCCCCCTGATCCCAGTCTGGCCCCTCTGCCGAGATAAGCCAAGGTAAGCACCTTACCTGTTCACATCAGCAGTTCTCACCTCGACCCTGGGCCACATCTAGGGACAACTGTCACAAGTAGGGGATGCTCTTCGCACCAAGAGGGTGGGGCAGGGAAGCTGCTCAACACCCATCCGCGCCCCCCCCCCCAGAGAATGACCTGATCCCAACGGTGGAGAGTTTTCCTTTAAGATAAATTAAGTCTGTGTAATTATTTTGAGAAACTCTACTCTGGGGGACTGTGCAAAGGTCCTGGGGCAGATTTTTGACAACAGATCCTGAGAGCCAGTCAACTGGCTGGGAAGTATCTCAGCCCCAGATTCCCCATCAGGCTCTGTTCCCACCCTCACTGTCTTTTAAGTAACAGCCCAGACCAAGGACCTCCTACCACAGAGCCAATGTAACCAGCTTTCCTCTGCTGATAATAAAATCAAAGTCAGCCTCAAGCATTCCAGGTGCCCTCAGGCACACAGTCTTGGTTTTCTCTGCCATGACCTGTTTCCTGATATGGCTGATGTGTGTCAGGGAATAAACACCAGGGGTGAAGGTTGCTCAGGAGGTGGGATGCTAGTGGTAAAGAATTCGCCTGCCAGTGCAGAGATGCAATAGATGAGGGTTTAACCCCTGGATCAGGAAGATTCCCTTGAAGAAGGAAATGGCGACCCACTCTACTAGTATTGTCTGGAGAATTCCATGGACAGAGGAACCTGGTGGGCTACAGTCCATGGAGATCATTAAGAGTTGGACACAACTGATCACACACACAGTTGCTGAATTTTAGGTCATGGAGGTCAGACTCAAGTTGGACTGGGCTCTTCCCTACCCCTTGTCCCCGTGGGAGAAAGAGGCTGAGGAAAGTGCCTCTTTGACTCGCAAGAGAGCTGGTGGGGTTTTATTTTTATTCTTTCAAATGACTCTCGCAACACATCAGAGGGCCACAGGGCTTCAGCATCCTGTCTCCATGGAGACAGAGCCTGTCTCCAGCCCAGCTCCACCAGCTCAGCCTGGGGCTGAGCCGAGAACCAGGGGCTGTGCAGGGCCAAGGGGTGGGGTGTTCTAGGAGGACGCTGGACCCCTCACCCAGGTTCTGCTCCTGCCTCAATCCTGTCTTGGGCTGGCTGCTGATACCAGGCAGGGTAACAGCCATTTATTGAATGCTAAAGGTGCTCCTGGTTTTATGCTGAGCCTCATCTATTAGCATCGCTGAATCCATGCCAGGGGCTTCACCCTCTTTAGTTCTAACTTGGCAAATAAGGAAATGAGCTTGGCTGTCTAAAGCGTGGGGAAGACGCTGTGGGATTGTGGAAAGCATGTGGGTTCATATCCCAGCAATCTCAGTGTGTGACCTTGCCCAAGGGACTCGACCTCTCTGGGCCTCAGTTTCCCCCTCTGTAAAGTGGGTATAGCAACAGTACCCACCCTTATCCTTGCTATGAAGGTGACCTCTCCTGAGGAGCAAACTTTAAGGATAGAGAAAATAAAGAATATTTTAATACAGTAGCTTTCAAAAACTAAAAATAATGCTGAAAAAAATCCATGATGAACAAAAAGGTCAACATTTTAAATAGAGTCAGAATTACTGATTTTTCCTTTGGCTCATCACAGCACTATGACTGATCCTGTTTTTGTTTCAAAAAAAAAAAAAAAGAAATAGGGACTTCGCTGGTGGTCCAATGGTTAAGACTCCATGCTTCCAGTGCAGGGTCATGAGTTTGATCCCCGATCAGGGGACTAAGATCCCACATGCTATGTGACCAAAAAATAAATTGTAAAAACAAAACAAAACAAAACAAGCCTTATATATTAAGAAAAAACACAAAAAACAAAGGAAATAAATTTAAAATAAAGTCAAGGTCAGTAGACTGACCCCCAGTGACTGTGTGGTGCTTTTTATCTTACAACCTCTGACCCCAGTTCCTCCAACCCTGCCTCAGGGCCTTTGCATCTGCCTTTTCATTCTTAGCTTAAAGTCCATCCTCTCTAAGCCTTCCCTGAATTTGCCTCCTAAAGCCATCTCTCCACTTCTGTTTCCTCCATTGCATTGAACACAGTCTAAAGTATCTGGTTTAGGGGCTTCCCTGGTGGTCCAGTAGTTAAGACTCTGCAGAAGGCTATCCCTGTTTGGGAAACAGAGCCCGCATGCCTTGCAGCATGACTAGTGATAGTAAAGTATCTGGTTTATTTGTCGGTACTCATCCTGGGCATTGTGCTGTGGATTGAGTTAACCACTTAGCACAGAGCCTGGTGTTGGAAAGAGAGCAAAATGACTTATCAGTAAACAAATAAATATATAATGATGTGAAGAACTGACTCATTTGAAAAGACCCTAATGCTGGGAAAGATTGAAGGCAGGAGGAGAAGGGGATGACAGAGGATGAGATGGTTGGATGGCATCACTGACTTGATGGACATGAGTTTAAGTAAGCTCCAGGAGTTGGTGATGGACAGGGAAGCCTGGCGTGCTCCCATCCATGGGGTCACAAAGAGTCATACACAAGTGAGTGACTGAACTGAACTGAACATATTAGAATTAAATTAATTAAATTATCATGAGTATAAATGCTATGGAAGAAAAAGGAAGTCTAAGAAGTAATGGTGGCTAAACGATTTTAGATCAGGCAGACGCAGAAAGTGATGGGAGATTGAAGGAGCGGACCATGTACCATTTGGGGGAAGGGCTTTCCAGGCACAGTTGTGCAAAGGCCCTGAGGCAGCACCACACCTCAGGTGTTGGAGGAACAGTGAAGTGGTGTGTGTGTCTGGAGCAGACTGAGCAAGGAAAAGAGAAGGTGGAGGGGAGGGCAGGGAGGTGCTGCAGGAAAGACTCAGGCTTTAATTTGGAGACATCTTTGGATTTTTTTAAAATTGAATTGTTGATTTACAAGCTGTGTGAGTTTCAGGTGTACATGTGTGTATGTATGCATTCTTTTTCACATTCTTTTCCATTATAAATTGTTACAAAATATTGAATATACATAGTTCCCTGTACTATAGAGTAGGTTCTTGTTATCTATTTTATATATCTACTAATTATATATAAATATATCTATATAGATATAATATAGATATATATCTACTAATATAAATAATATGATACTATATAATATATCTACTAATATAGATAATATAATTTATTTTATCTATTAATCCCAAACTCCTAACTTAGACCCCCCTTCCCTTTTGGTAACCGTAAATTTGTTTCCTACATCTGTGAGTCTATTTGTTTTGTAAATAAGTTCATTTGCCTCATTTTGTTTCAATTCCACATATAAGTGATATCATGTAATATTTGTTTTTCTCTGCCTGACTTACTTCACTTAGTATGATAATCTCTAGGTCCATCCATGTTGCTGCAAATGGCATTATTTCATTCTTGTTTATGGCTGAGTAGTATTTTGGTGTGTGTGTGTGTGTGTGTGTGTGTGTGTGTGTGTGTGTGTACACACAGACAAACATACAAACATACCACATCTTCTTTATCCATTCATCTGTTGATGGACATTTAGGTTGCTTCCATTTCTTGGCTATTGTAAATAGTGCTGCTATGTATCTTTGGAATGCATGTATCTTTTCAAATTCAAGTTTTCTCCAAATATATGCCCAAGAATGGGATTGCTGGATCATATGATAGATCTATTTTCAGCTTCTTGAGGAACCTCCATACTGTTCTCCATAGTGACTGCTCCAAGTTACATTCCCACCAACAGTGTAGGTGGGGTCCCTTCTTTCCATACCCTCTCTAGCATTTTTTATTTGTAGGCTTTATGATGATGGCCAGTGATGATAACCTCCTTGTGGTTTTGATGGAGAGTTTTAGCAGGAGTGGCGTGATGCCCATAGAGCACTTGGCCCAAATGCATCCATTTCTTTCTAAATATTTTGAACAGTATGTGCACGTGGCAAGTGTGACCAAAAGTGTTGCTGAGGATATAACACAATGATCGCTGTTTCTACTCTATCTATAAGTTACAAACTTAAAAGTGCTGAGCATAGTGTTATCAAAATGCTCTTTCTTGTTGCTGTTATTTTTATTATTATTAATGTTATTATTCTGTCTGCTTAAACATTCCATGGACAGTCCTGTAAAAGTCAAGTGAGCGCCCTATAGAACGGTGTGCTATTTTTTGTGTTTTTCCTGGTATTATCAGTGGGAAGACCTTGAGCCACCTCGAAGCCCGGTCGGTCCTGCCTAAAGATTTGCCGTCACCCACCCAGAAGGCAGGGGTTACGAACCCGCTGGCCTCAGTTTACAGGCCGGGACTGGGCGGCCAGGCGGGATGCCGGATGTGTGGGATGCAGGATGATCCAAGTGTGATTCGGGATAGACGATGCGCGTGGGGGCGCCGCCGCGGCGAGGCGCGCTCTGGCCGCCAGGGGCCGCTGCGGAGCCGCCCTTTTGTGGTCCTGATGCTGGCGCGAGCGGGCGCGCGGAGGAGGGAGGAGGGCGCGGGGACCGGGCGGGAGGGAGGCGGGAGGCGGTGTCCGTCGCTCCAGCTGCGAGTCCGCCCGCCGCCCGCCGCCGCCGCCGCCGCCGGCTCGGTCCCGCGCCCGCCGCCCGCCTTCGCCCGCCATGGCCCGCCTGACGGAGAGCGAGGCGCGCCGGCAGCAGCAGCAGCTCCTGCAGCCGCGGCCCTCGCCCGTGGGCAGCAGCGGGCCCGAGCCCCCCGGGGGGCAGCCCGACGGCACGAAGGACCTGGACGCCATCAAGCTCTTCGTGGGCCAGATCCCGCGCAACCTGGACGAGAAGGACCTCAAGCCACTCTTCGAGCAGTTCGGCCGCATCTATGAGCTCACGGTGCTCAAAGACCCCTACACGGGCATGCACAAAGGTGGGCGCCCGGCTCGCTCCCCTCCCCTCTCCTCTCCTCCCTCGGCCTCCCCACCCCACCTTCCGGCATCTTCTCCCCGCCACCAACCTTCCTCTCCTCACCTCCTCCCTCCGCTTGCCTCTGCCACGGCATCATTTCTTACCCCCCCAACCCCGTTCTACCCACCCCCTCCTCCCCCCTCTGGGGGTGCAGCTGACAGATCCGAGCTGGCCCCCTCCCCTCTCCGCCCCCACTCCCTCCCTCCCCACCTTCCGGCATTCTCTCTCTCTCTGTCTCTCTCTCCCTCTCCCTCTCTCTCTCTTCTCTTCCCTTTTCCCTCCTCTCTCATCTCCCCCTACCTCCCATCCTGCCCCCCCAGCCTCCTTCCCTCTCTCCCTCTCCCTCTCATTCCCTCTAGACCCCCACCCCTCCCTCCCTCCCTCACCCACTCTTTCTTGCCCCTTTGCTGGGAAGCTGCCTAAACACAGCCACCCTCCCTGTGCCTCCCCCCATTCATTCGGCCTCCCCAGGCCCCGTCGGGGAAGTTTGCACCACTGGATTTCATTGCCTTGGTCATTTTCACAAAGCCAGGCCGGCGGGGCAGGTCCAGCCGGCCGCGGGGGACACGGATGCTCAGGATCTCGGGCTAATCGGTAACTACAAAGAAAGCGGGTGGGGGGTTGGGGGTGCAGGCAGCTAAGCCAGTCAGGGGGAGCACCAGCCTCTTGGGTGGTTCAAGGCTACCGTGTGCCCTCCCCCCCCCCACCATGCCCAAACCGTCTCTGTTTGGATCAGCATCCCCCCGCCCCGATTTCTCTATGCGCCCCCCACCCCCCCCAAGACTGCCGCCTCCACCTTTGGCTCAAGTTAAAACTGGCCAAGCCTGTTAGCAGTATGTTGAGGGCTGAGGCCAAAGACGATGAGCCCGGACTGTCCATCTGGCAGAGCCGAGATCCTGGGGTTGACGGGGAGGTGTGGGCGACCTGTGAGCCTAGCAAAGGAGGCAGGTCGGGTGGGAAGGCCTGCCCGCCTCCCTGCCACCTGATTCTCTATTGGCATGCTGAAAGGGGGTGCTGGGGACTGTGGCCCCAGCCCTGGGCTCTGATCATGGCATAGTGTCTGGATTGGGGTGGCTCTGGCAGTTCTCCTGGCAGGGGATGGGGATTGGGGGGTGGGGATGGTGAAGACTTTGTGCTGACACCCCTGGTGAGATCCTGGAGGGGCCTCGGGGTTGGATCAGGGCCCGTGACCTATTTCAGACCGCATTCATCCCTGTCTTCCTCTCTGTGTGGCAGGCATGGTAAGCATAAATATGTGTTTGTTGAATGAATGAATGAATGAATAATGAACAAGTGAATGAATCAATGAATGATGGGTTGGGACAGGCCATAGGGAGGATCTGGTGGTTTGGAGTCCAGGCCTGCCACTTCAGCTAGCCCCTCCAGCTGGTACCAAGGGGGAGGAAAGCAGCTCCTCCCATCCCCCATCTCTTTCAAATCCAACCATCACCAAAAAAAAAAAAAAAAAACCTGGGCCTGGAAAATCTAACCGCTCCCTGTGGCCTAGGAGGGCAGAGGGCTTGTGCTCACCCACGAGTCAGGCTGAGGGGTCCACGGTTGTGTGAGGGGTCTTTCCACAACCCAAACCCCTGGTGTGTCCGAAGGGCTCATTTCTAGAAAGATTCTGATGGGGGTGGTGTCCACGTGCCCCCCCCCCCCCACCCAAACGTTGAATGAAAAGCTGCTGGTGAGCTCTGGGTCTCAGAGACATATGGGGCGTGGGGAGATGGAGCCGCCCAGTGGTCCTCCCCTCTTTTCTCATTTTTAAATCTCTCCTGGAGAACCCTACCGCCCCCACAGCACGCAAGGATAAGGGAGAGACTGTGGCTGGATTTTCACTGACCTGAGAGCCTCAGTTTACCTGTTGTTGACAGAACAGGGTCTCATGAATGTGGGTTTTTTTTTTTTTTCTGGCTGGAGAATGTTAGGACTGGGGGTGCCTCAGGGTGTTTCCCATTTGCAGTCTTTCCTTGGAGGGTGAAAATTAAGAAGCTAGGTGTCCATGACATCCACTTTACAGGAGCCCTAGGCAGGTTAGAGCCCCAGATATAGGGCCTGGGGGTAACGGGGTGGAGGGCCTTCTCCCCATATCCACCTGCCCACCCCAGTACCCTCAGGACACCAACGGAGGCCCCTCCTTATCCCACCTGTGCTGGGCCTGGTAGAACCTTATCTGTGTGAGGGAGTCGAGGGGGTGTTGAAGGTGGGAGTTGATTCAAGGGCCAGCAGCTGGGCTGGCGGCCTGTTGTGGGGGTGCTTAGCTGTATGACTGGCCAGTGGCTGGCCCTCTCTGGGCCTCAGCCAACGGGAAGTGGAATGATGCGCGGGGAATTGTGGCGTGGTGGGGAGGTCCAGGCACCTCCTGCCAACACTCATCTGGTTTTGTTTCTGGGGAACCTGTAGGGTGCCTACTGAGGGTGCTGGCTGAGAGCCCAGGGGTGGGAGTGTGGACCTCAGGTTGTGGAGAGAAATCCCCAGAGAGCCTTGGGGGCCCCTGGAGGCGAGAACACCGATTGTGGTCCCTGTGGCCCCTGCACCCAGCAGGAGAATGGACATCCAGTATTGCATTATTCCCATGATCACCATCTCACCCTTAATTTTCACACTGGGGGGCCTGGTTGATCTCTGCTGATGGGATCGTGACTCCCACGGGCTTGTGAGCATCTGTGCATTTCATGTGGAAGGGAAACTGAGGCCGGAGGGGCAAATACTGGGTCCCAAGGACTGACCAGAGCTGCCCTTCACCCAGCTGTCACACACCTGTCTCCCACCCAGGTCAAAGAAGCAGAAGTGTATCTGCGGAATGAGGGAGTGACAAGCCGAGGCGGGACCCCCCCTTCCCCAGGGGTGGTGTTGGGGAAGGGAAGGGAGGGGGCGGGGATATGACATCTGACGCCACGGCCAGGGGTGAGGTGGGGGCATCCCCATTCCTAAGGGTCTGTGCAGGGGGCCTCCCTGCTGGGACCAAGAGAAAGGCAGGGGAGAAGTGGAGGTTTCTCTGGAAGAGGGCAGATCCGTGGGTGCTGGCTGTTTTTGTTTTTAAGATAGAGGAATGGAGACAGAGACAGGTGGAGAGACATGGCACGAGCAGAGGAGAGAGATACACAGAGACGCGGGTGGGGTGGGGGGCTGACGCAGCCTCCCCCCACCCCCACCCACAGGGGAAGGCAGAAAGAGGGCGGGAGTTGGGGAGAGAGTTGGGGAGCAGGGAGGCCACGAGACGCTTCCCCCAACTCAGATCTGCACCTCATCCAGAGAAAGGCCTTGCCTGGTGCCCCCAGCCCAGCCAGCGGCTCAGGCCAGGAATTAGGGGGGCTCCCACTGATCAGGGTCCAGTCATCGCCCCCTCCAGCCACCTGCTGGGGGGACGGGCCCCCTCTGGGACCCTCCCTCGGAGAGGGCTGTGTGCACGTGCCCTCCCTTCCTCCCAGGTGCCTGGTGTGGCTCGGGCCCTCTCTCGAGCGATCGGCTTGAATATTAATACCCGCCCTGCCCGGGGCAGGCGCCCGCGATCCCTTCGTCCGCCGCCGCCGCGCGGCCCCCTTTATGGTAATCGTATATGCATTTGCATGTTAATGACAATATTTGTCTTAAAGCGGAGGTTGTGAAGGGGGCCGGTGAGGGTGGGGGGTCCGGGTGGGGGCCTGCAGTTTCCATGGGAGCACCAGCTGCTCGCCTGGCGGTTGGGGGGTGACGGGGGGTGGGGGGAGAGGCTGGAGCACGCCGAGCTCCAGGCATGAAATTCCGTGTGTGACGTGCCAGCCCCAGGGAGGCGGCGGGCTGGGCGGCCGACAGGCGCTGCCCGGTGGGGAGGAACGAAGGGAGGGGACAGCGGCGGGTGGGCAGGGAGGGGGTCGGGGGCAAGCCACCAGGGCTGGCTGTGTGGCTTCGAGCTGGGCACGCCTCCTTCCAGGCCTCAGTTTCCCCAACCACTCCATCCTCAGGGGGGTTAACAGGCTTTTATGAGGCCCCGGGGGCCTTATGGGTGACCATGACATCGTTTCTGCTTTCCGTTAGGCAGAGTGCATTGGTTGAGCGCCTGTTGTGTGTGGGTCTGAGATTCCAGGCAAACAGGAATTCCTGGGGGGCATGATGGAGTCAACAGGCTGTGAAGCCACCTACTAATAGAACCACTATTTCTTCCAGACCCAGGATACAGTGTCGGGCAAAATAGAGAAAAATCCTCTCCCAGACTCCTCCCACCCCCAGATCCCATTTGGTGGTGGTGTGTGTTGGGGGCGGGGGTGGGGAGGGGCGGGGACGGTGGGAGGGCACACAGTGAGGAACCGGAAGTTCCAAGGCATTGATGGCAGGGCTGAGATGGTGGATGCTTATCTGCAGGGACAACCCAGAGGAAGCCCCAGCCGCTGCAGGTGTGGAGACCAGGAGGGCTTCCTGGAGGAGGCAGCTGATAAGGGAGAGCAGTTAGGATGTCTGGTTTCTCTGCATCTTCTCGGCTACGGAAACTCGGGCAGCTGCCTTCAACTCTTCAAGGCTCAGTGTTGTCATCTGTAAAAAAGTCATGAGACCAGCGGGGCCTCCCATCTTGAGGAGAGTTAAGGGAGATGAGGGTCAGAATAGTGGTTAAAGATCTTGACACAGGGCTGGGCGCGGAGTCTATGCTTGTTACGCTACTAAGCTGAGACCTGAAGGATCTGTTGATGGGGAAAGGTGATCCTGGCAGAGCTTGTGCAAAGACCCTCCAGGTTGCGAGTGGATGGAGTTTTGCCTTGGTGGGGTAACAACAGAGGGTCCTGGGAGCCCTATGGTTCCCTTTTGATGACATTTGCTCTCTCTTTAAACCCTGATATTGGCTGATGAGACCCTGGCCATTAAGAGCACTGAGTAGGACCATACTCATTCATTAGCCAACACTTCCTGAAAGCCTTCTGGGGCCTCGTGCTCGGCAAGAGAGATCTGAGACCCCCCCCCCCCCCTAATGAGCAGAGCTACACACTGTCA